AATCAGTATGGTGACTCCTCAAGAAAATGGGAATAAGTCTACCACAAGATGCAGCAATTCCACTCCTAGGCATATACCCAAAAGAAGCACATTCATACAACAAAGACATCTGTCCCATGATGTTCATAGCAGCACTATTTGTAATAGCGTTTTAGTAGGGGGGGGATGGTAGGGAAGGAGGGGGGAAGAAGGGAACTGGGATTGTCATGTAATTCAATCTTGTTTGTAACTCAAATAAAAAAATTAAAAAAATTAAAATAGTCACAGTGATGACATTCTAAACAAAAAATAGTTTCAGTTTCTTTTTGTTTTTAAATATATGAGATAACTCACCATAGTGAAAGAAGAATATAAATATGGGCTTGGGTTTATGCACACCACCTTGCCAGATTTGAACAAGAAAAGAGAAACAAATCAATGGATAGCTATATCCAAACTGTGGAAACTTAAAAAGCTCAATTTTACTGGGTTACAGGAAGAAGACAGCTAATTCTTCTAATGTGTTGAGTGAAAATACAACCTGAGATGACAAACGTGTCTGGATTAGGTGGACTCTGATAAAAGAAAAAGATAACATGGCTAAGTGAAGACAAAAATATGGTTTTTCGGGCTGGAGAGATGACCTGGCAGTTAAGAATGCTTGCTGCTCTTGCAGAAGTTCCCAGCAGCTGCGTCAGGCAGCTCACAACCTCCTATAACTTTAACTCCTGAAGATCTAATGCCCTCTTCTGGCTTCTTTAGGTACCTACAGCCATGATCATATACTCACACACACACGCACACACACACACACACACACACACACACACACACACACACACACTATTAAAAATAACTCCTTACAATATATGGTTTTAAATTTTCTGATAGAATAAGCTAGAAATTTGCATTTAAAACAAGAATAAATTTGAATATTTGTGTCACCCTTAAATGAACACAGGAAATATCCATGCAATTCTTGAAAATACTAGGGCTGTAAAAGCAAAGGGAAAATTATTCTGGGCAGAACCTACTTAAGGTACCGCCAAGACCGAAATGTTCCAAAGGAGTCTGAGGACATTTGATGAGTGCAAAACATAGCCTGGTCATGGAGCCACAGAATGGAGCTTCTTTTATTTTATTACCTTTAAACTTTTACATGTACAAAAATATATAAAGTGCTGCTATGGATTACCAGGCATAAAATATCCAAGAGAATGTACCCACTGACATACTTGGAAATCATTAGTACAACTCCAAAGTAACTACTAGAGAAATGGTTGACTTAATCTGGGCGAATGTACCCACTGACATACTTGGAAATCATTAGTACAACTCCAAAGTAATTACTAGAGAAATGGTTGACTTAACACCCAAACTGAGGAAGGTAATCCCAATCTCACGGTCCTCAAAAAGACACCAATGCACAGGAAATCAGGAGCAAAGATGCGTCCTCACTACTCACGGGAAGTCCTCGTTTTCCCAGTGGCCCAGGCTTCCCAGGGTCTCCTGACACGCCATCTACTCCATGGTATCCTTGCAAGCCTTTTGGCCCAGGAAGGCCGGGAAGTCCCTTGGTAATTAAAAATTATTTTGATTACAGAGACATATTGGGCAGATGAGATTTCCTGGTGTAGAAAAGGTTACATACTTCTGGACCTAGCCTTAAACATAAAATTTCCTCTACTTTTTAATGACTTACTGTTTGTGTCCATAAAAGAGTTGCCTTACAACGTTCCCTAAACAGATCTAGGGCTATAACTCCATAGCAGAATATTTCCCTCACATCTCTAAGGCCTTGGTTCCAGTCCAAGTATCCTAAAAAATGTTCTCTAAATAAAAATGAAAGCGAATCAGCAGTTTATTGTGTAACTTCTTGAGCCTCAGAGGATTCCCTGACATTTTTCACTGTGTCAGTTCATCTTTCTCTAGATGTCAAGAAAAGATGAGAGGCAGACACCGGAGAGCTTGAGATGCAGGTGTCAGTCTCTTCTGAAGCACCTTGAATCAGGTTTCCTTCAAGAATAATGATTATGCTGCTCGGTTTCCCCTTAAGTCAGAGAATCAGATGACTGATGAACAGGCCTAAATATCTTGTTTCCACCCTTGAATGAATAATTTTTTTATTTGTTTTGTTTTTTTCTTTGTGTAACAGCTCTGACTGTCCTGGAACTCACTCTGTATACTAGGCTGGCCTCTAACTCAGAGATCAGCCTGTCTCTGCTTCACAAGTGCTGGGATTAAAGACATGCACCACCACTGTCTTGCCCTGAACAACTGATTTTTATTTGTAGGGTCTTCGGCATGAATGTGTTTGCAATTTATCTTTTTTCCCCCTTTTGTCCCAATGCAGACTGGTGGAAGCAGGTATGTAAGTCTCAGCTGGGCAGCATCATGGGCATTCTCTTTGCTAAGCAGCCAGCCAGCACATACCTACCCAACCCAAGGAGGACTTGAACAACTGATTTTTATTTGTAGGGTCTTCGGCATGAATGTGTTTGCAACTTATCTTTTTTTCCCCCTTTTGTCCCAATACAGACTGGTGGAAGCAGGTATGTAAGTCTCAGCTGGGCAGCATCATGGCATTCTCTTTGCTAAGCAGCCAGCCAGGACATACCTACCCAACCCAAGGAGGACACTGATGCTCAGGTAAAATTAATCTTTATTCTGGGACAAAGGACTGATTTTCTTCCCAAGACTTTCTGCCCTAATTGCCAGGAGAATGAGAAGCCGAGTCCTCCAATTAAAACCCAGCTCATGTCTTTTTAATTATACTTGACTCTGACCTTCGTTACCACTCACTTGGTCATGTTTCCAGTTCCCTGTTTACAGTGGTTCACCAAGAGACAGAAGTAAGAATCCGCAGGGAGGGCTCCATAACACGGGAAAATAGCATCCTTCTCACTTGCAGGGACTTAGATTTAAACAGCAAGTTTGGTTTTGAGTTAGTGGTCATATTTTGTTCCCTCTGTGTTCCAGCATGGGTTTGAATTTTTTTCAAGACAAGTCTGATTTATCCAACATGACATAACTGGCCCCGAACTATTCTGCTTGCTAAAGTTGTCAATTCTGCTTAGGAAAACAAGAAAGATAAAAGAGGTCTGCTACTTACGGGAATGCCAGGTTTTCCAGTAGGACCAGGAACTCCCTTTTTCCCCTTAGGACCCTGAAAATGGAAAGCACAGTTGTTAATAGATAAACATAAACTGACTTAAACAAGCCATGGAAAAGAACACAGAGGCCTGAATGGCACAGAAGCACACTAACCAGCTGCCTATCACTGGAATGGCCATTTAACTCTCCCGGGGTGGAGGGACCACTTCCATCATGGGAAATGGGAGAATTTGAATAGATCGTCGATGAATTTCCTTTTTGCCCTGAGTTCGGATTTAAAAATTCAAGTCACAGTTCTAAAAGGGCATTGTAAATGTCCTCCCTCTCAGACAGGGTCTATGCCTCCTTTTAAACATGGCTAAATCCAGCGATACTCACTGAGTATCACATATCATGGCATCTGTTACACGCTAGGAATTCAGAGGCGAAGTCCCTGGTCACAAGACACTGTGAGGCCATGGCTGTGAACCAATAGCCAAAATGTGCTTCCATGGAAGCACAAAGAACACACTTGCAAACAGAAAAAAAGCAGGTATTTGTTTTTCAAGGACTGTTTGTTTTTCCATGTGTGAGATGTTTTAAGTCATAATTGATTCAACAGTAACTGGTCTGCCATGGGGATAGTCAGAGACTGTGTCCGTGCAAATCATTCCATTGTTCTGATGATATCCCCGAATTATTTTCAGATGAAAAACATGGAAAACAGTGACCTGGTATACAAATAAGGAAAAGAATCATGTCATTACCAGACACACTTCTCAGAGATCATTTGAAGTTATCTCAGACAGGATTGTTTTAGCCTAGAATGGTAAACTCTTAAGGCTAGCATGCTGAAGGTACAGTTTAGTGGCATACACACAAATAATCATTTCAGATGTTACAACTTTGAAGATGGCCTTAAAATTTTGAAAAGATACAGTGCATGCCACCATGGAGAAGAAGGGCATCTTCTGTAAGAGACAGAACGTCCAACTGTTCAGCTGGGCTTGGTGCTATGCACTGAGTAAACCCAGACTCAGAAAGCTACCCCTGCAAGCATGTCTTAAATAGCTTCTGACCCCAGGTGGAGCCAGCATAGTGGGATCATGGCAGCTGGGGCCCAAAAAAGGATGACATGCATTTTGGTGGATGTGTGAAGGAGGTCTGGAGTAAAGTCACCTTCTTGCTATCTTTCCTGACCATGGCAACCCAGAATGCTACTGCAGTATTGAGGGCAAAAAGCAAATGGGAAAGACTGTGTGCCACATGTGGCATGTTTGAGTATTTTAGAGGAGTTAAAGCCAGTTAACCAATTAGATTCCCCTCATTTAGCTGTCTACCACTACATGGGATGGACGTTCAGGACGGATGATAAGTTCTATTGCAAAGAATACAAGTAAAGTTCTTCTTCCAGTGTACGCTCGTGTACGTGCTTCACAAATTCAAATAACAAAGTACAAACAGGAATCTTCAGGCACTATTATAGTCAATTACATTTGAGAATGATACCTGTGTTGGGATTATTTCAGAAGTTAAATGCTGTGCTCCGAAGGCTACTTCTAAAGGCTTACCACAACTAGAATGCTCTTTAGACTTGGATGGGCATTAAAAGCAGTGTTTAATAACACAACACTAGGGGAACTTTATGAATATGAGAGACACTTTAAAAGGTCATTTTACTAATGCTGGAAGGGTAGTCAAGGCAATACCCACCCATTGACAAGTAAGTCATTAAACTGATACCAAGAATCTGGCCTCTGTCTTGGGTCATTTAGATTAGCTATTCTCACTGTAGCTGAAAGAACACTGTAGCTATAAGAAGGGGTTCAATACATGTAGAACATTGTTCTTGTTATGGACAAAATGTTTGTGTGCTCCCCAAATTCACATGTTGACATTCTGGCCTAATGATGAAGTATAAAGGTTGGTCCTCTGGGAGGTGATGAGGTTTTGAGAGTGAGGGCCTTGGAGGGGATTAGTGCTCTTCTGAAGTAGACCCCAGAGAGCTGTCTGGTCTCTTCTCTCCTAGTGAGGATACAGGGAGGAGATGGCATCACCATGGGGGCCATCCTGACCTTGTACTCAGCCTCCAGAATGAAACTGTGTTACTTACAAGCTACATATCCCTTGGTACTTAGCTACAGAAGACTGGACAAAGTGATTCTTGTACTGCATTACATTTTATTTTGAGAATTTGTATATTAAAATGTCTCAAAACCAGCACCACCAGTTCTGTAACTCAACAAAGAGCTCAACATTATTAAACATTCCTCTCTCACAGCGGAGTCTGTGCAGTAGGAAATTACATATGGTCTAAGGTCAAGGAGACATGCTGCTGTGTGAGCCCTCCCTGGATGAGTAACTGGGTCATTACCTTCAGAAGGGAAACAGTCACACTCCAACCAACCCTCCAAATTCAGATGTAATAAAAGTAGATGCATGCTGTGACGTCAGACTTAACTTACTCATTTGATTTTATTTAAATATAAGTTCTTCATAAATCCATGGGTGGGATGTCCTTAAATAGAAAGGCAAACAACTCAGTAGGAAGTCTTTTCAGGGTACACGTTTCCCGTTGCTTGAACTGCATCCTAATGGCTCCTATGGAACCATTCTGGAAGCCTTCCATTCATGGGCATTCCACTGGTTCTCTGACTAGAGGTGATCTAGTTCTTGTGACAAAGGACATTTTAAGGTTCTCTGCTAATTGAAAGGTTGTTGTTTTGTGTTTGACTTTGTTTTTAAAGATATCTCAAGGGTAGTTATCACAGAACTCGGCTAGCTCCAACTGCCTTTGAGTGGTCTAACTTTAGAAAGAAACACAAACTCAGGGCTTCTTCCAAGAACTACTCTCCCTCTCTTCTCCTTTAACCAAGAAAATGACATTCATTAAAACCCAGAGGTTTTATGTTGAGAGGAAAAGGAGGCTTTGGCTGGAGTCCTAGGCTCTGAGGCTGTAGGAACTTCCACATACATTTGCATGGTAAGAAAACTCTGTAGGATGTGGTGGTTTTTGTCCCTCTTACTTCTTTCTGGGGAACCCACTCTCACACACTCAGTGAATGAGCTCATTAGTCAGTTAGGATTAAGTGTATTTTAATTTATAAAATTTTATAATTAACAAGAGATTTCAAAGCAATGGGTATGCTAATGAGACTCAGGAAATTAAGTTGTTTCTGGCTCTCTTGCTAATTAGTTCTGTGATCTTAGGTAATGCATAATCTCTCTAGGATTTAAATTTCTTCATTTTGAAAACAAGTTCACCGTCCAGATGACTTTAAGGGGCCATTTCTAACTCTAAAAAATAAACTTAAAGCCTTGCAAAAACAAGAGGACAACAATTGGACAGGACTCATCTGGCCACTAAAGGAGTCCTTAATGAATAATACATAATCAGTGGTTATTTTTGTAGCAAGTAATGCTAGTATAAATTGTCCTAAATTGTGCCATTGGACTTCATGCGACAGTACACCCCATCATCAGAAGTTAAGGCATGGGCTCAGCTCCTCTTGGCGCCAGTGCATAGGGACAGCTCACTAGCTTGCTGTGAAGACAGTTTCCTCATAAGAGAATTTGATTTTCATTGCTATAATCTTAGCAGATCCTAATAAGAACCAGAAAGTTTCTTTTTCAAGAGATATGTCAAAAGAGAAAAAGAAAACCTGATAGGCATAAAAGTTTTAATTAGAAAGCATTAGGCATTTTAGGATAAAACTTGGACACGCATCCACACTCTTGGGTAGCATGGAGCATTGTTCTATGAGCTTAATAGCTTGGTCCGCAACTTTTTCCATTGTATATATTAAAAATGTTAAGTGAAAGTGAAGGCAATCATGTTTCTCTGCTTTACATTTTCTTCATACAGGCCAGTTTATAATTCACTAACTAGTTATTAATCTTTGTTTATTTAATGTGTGTATGTATGTGTGTGTATATGTGTGTGTGTATGTGTTTGTGTGCATATGTGTGTGTGAGTGAACATGTGTGTAGGGAGACACCATAACCAGCCTCCTAAGGGCTGGCTACAGGTGTGATAAGCCTGACCACGCTTATCACGGCATGGGGTCAAGGTGAGGTCAGGATGGCTTCTTAAGAGACAGGAACACATGGAAGGCCTTCTGCTGCCCCTTCTCTCTGGCCTCCCTGCCTTGCTGCCCCTGGGCATGCTCTGGCTTACGTTTGGCTGGTATTTTTCTGAATAAAGGTATCTTAAACCAACAAGCTCGGCTATCACATGTGTGTGCAGGTACATGTGTATTTGTATGAGCACATATATGTAGAAGCTAGAGGATAACTTTGGGCATTGTTCTTCAGGATCTGCTCACTTTTAAAAAACAGATTTGTTTCATTAGAGTATTACGCGTATGTCTATTTTGCTTTAAATTATCTGTGAGGATGCATGGGCACACAAGCACAGGTGAGCGTGGTGGCCAGAAGAGGACATTTGATTCCAGGGAGCTGGTCTTACGGGTGGTTGTGAAATACCCAATGGGGTGCTGAGAACTTAGGTCCTCAACAAGAGTGATTGTAGCCATCTCTCCAGCCCGTCCACACCTTCTCCCGTTGACCTGCAAGTCTTTGCTTCTCAACATATTTTACACCTGCCTGGACTTAAAATATGGGCTCTGGGGAATCCAACTCAGGTTCTCATGCTTGCAAGGCCAGTAATGTACTGAGTGAGCTATATCCCTAACGCTTAATTCTTTTTTTATTAAGGAATCAAATGCGATGTTACAACATACATAGCCTGAATATTTAAAAAGCTTCTGTGTGACTTCACAACCACTGAACATCTATTCACTATATCTGACCCGACTTCATTTTACTACTTAACTCTGGCAGCTGGAAACACAAATTGGAGTAAAGACACCTTTATAAATTAGAAGAAACATAACCCCACAAATATTTTTCTACCCATTCCTATAAAATTTAAAATTAGGCTACAGTAAGTTTTCTTAAGTACCGTATTTTAAGGGCCAGGGGTGTGGCTTAGTGGCAGAGCACTTTCTTCGAGTGTCCAAGGCTCTGGGTTTAATCCCTACCACTAGAAACAAGATTCCTTAATCTGAGTCAAGAGCAAGTGAGAAGCAGGACAGTCATGGGCTGATGGTGGAAATGAAACTCTGAGCTGTATATGCTTGAGGCCAGGCCTGTCTAGACGTTTAAATTCAGTGAACCAACAGAGTTGTCACTTGCTTGATAATAAAGTCAGCTGTTGAGTCTAGGATATACAATCAAATGGCTATTTTTACATTTTTTCTGTCAGATAGATTCTTCACTTGGATGAACCTCAGTCAGGCCCCTCACCCTGGGCCCGCCACACCCTGATGTCTGATCCCTCTCATTCCTCACTGCCCACCCCCACCTGATGTCTGGTCACCTTGGCCTGTGCACACAGGACTGCTGCTGGTCTTTTTATCTAGATTCTCCCTTACTCCTAATGTTGTTCTTGGTAATTTTCCATCCACTGATCCTTACTGTGGTGATATATTAATGATTTATGAAAGTCTGCCTGAGGGTTCAGAATGCAAAGCTAGCCATAAGCCAGTCATACTAGCTAGCCATAGAGCCAGGCAGTGGTGGCACACACCTTTAGTCCCAAGACTCAAGAGACAAGCAGATGGATTGAACTCTGTTAGTTCAAGGCTCCACTGAGCTACATGAAATTGATCCAGTCTAAAAGAGAAACAGCTTACACAAAGGTGATCTCAGCACTTGGGATCCCATGCCTTTAATCCCAGCACTTGAGGTATGTAAGATAGGAGCAGATATTCAGTCTGGGGGCATTTTGGTCTCCAGTCATGCTCAGGCAATTGGTCTCTAGCCATGTACAGGGCAGAATTGCTTCAGTCTGGGTAGAGGTAAGAGCTACTGACTTGCCTGCTTTGCTTTTCTGATGTTTAGCTTGAAGCTTGGACCCCAATATCTGTCTCTGGGCTTTTATTATTCCTAATACACGTTACTATGCTCCTTGCCTATGATTTTTCATCAGCTGGTTCTATATTCAGAATTAAACCCAATCTCTGTCTGACTCTAAAACCTCCTATAATTGTGGAGAACCCTATACCAATTGTGACTGTTATGAGCACAGTTTTCATTGCCCCTTTTGAGCAAGTCTTCAATGGTTTTCCTTATTAATAACTTCTACAGCCAGGTCTATATGACTGATAGGGTTTCACTCTACAGTGCTGGTACTTCTGTTTGAAACCTCAGTAACAGACTACCTTAGGGGATATCCTTAGGTGATTGTTTTCAAGATCAAGATAGGTAAAGTGCAATTTAGATTCTACTCAAAAGATACAAGTCATTCAGTCATGGTTTAGCACGAAGTCTGACATGTGGCCCCTTAATCCTCCCCCAGAGGCTTACAGTGATCTCCACTCAGGAGAGTGGACAGCTACTTGAATTATAATCAACAGCAATCTCTCTTGTGCCCACTTTCCTAAGCCAACCATAAACTTCACATTCCCTCAAACAAGTCTCACTTACTTCAGCTCCTTTCTCTCCTTTCAGTCCTTGTCCACCTTGGTCGCCAGGTTCACCCTTTAATAGGAGCCAAGAGAGAAATCTCATGTAAAGTAAAGAAGAAGTGAGCTATTAAAGCTATTAAAGAAGAATGTGATTCTATTAAAAAATGCTGAAATTATAGAATACTTTCACAACATACTGGGGGCCCTTGTTGTCCCGTGGCACCTCGGAGTCCTGGCACACCCATATGGCCCTAGGGATAAAAAAGATTCAATTAATTCAAGTAAGCTCAGTTGTGTGACCTAGACTTTATCACTTAAAATAGAAGCAGAGAATTCAAGAAGTGAACTTAGATATAGAATCTTCTTTGAAACAGGATAGAATCTATAGTTGAGGGATATTTTGATGAATATGGCATATTATGTTGGACAAATAATATGTTTTGGTTTTGTTTTAAAACTGTGGGTTAATGCAGAGGATTGAATGGAGGATTAGGATGGCGCATGATCTTTGTAGCCTGAAAATGTGGTGTTATTTGGAAAAGAAGTCTTTATAGATGTGAGCACATGTGGTGGTTTGAAGCACAATGGCCCCGAAAGGGAGTAGTACTATTAGGAGGTATGGCTCTGCTGCAGTAGGTATAGCTTTCTTGGAGGAAGTGTGTCACTGTGGGGTGGGCTTTGAGGTCTCTTCAGCTCAAGCTTCCCTCAGTGTGACTATCAGTCAACTTCCTGCTGCCTTCTGGTCAAGATGTAACCAGCACCTCATCTTCCCGGACACTGTCATGCTTCCTGTTATGATGATAATGGACTGAACCTCTGAAACTGTAAGCCACAAACTCAATTAAATGATTTCTTTGTAAGAGCTGTGGTGTTTATGGTGCTTCTTCACAGCAATAGAAACTCTAAGACGTGAAATTAAGCATCCCCAGTCTGAGTCAGTTAAAAGCTCAGGATGATGATGCTGAGCCATAGCGTTGGTGACTCTCTGGCTTGTCATAGTAGGGAGACCTTTCCACAATGACCCCACAAACACCAACTCTCTCTTTGGATTCTATGAAGTTGCTTGTTGGTGACATACTTGGTAAGTGGATTTGAGAGGACTATGGTTGGGGACAGGGAATCTAGTTAGAGAGCTATTGAAATAATTCAGACAAAAGACATCTTGAGAAGATCAATTTAATTCTGGCAATTATCTGTCTACCTGCTTGCCCATCAACTTGGCTAATCTAAGTCTGCCTTTCAGTAGTGATCACAGAGCATCAAACTTGAGACGGAGATGCATTGGGTCAAGTAGTCTGCTAGTTCATCATTAAAAGCAAATTACATGCAGGGCTCCCAACTAAATACTATACAAGATAGAATAAACTTAGATTCTCATTGGGGAGCTAAGGCACCATGTAATTTAAAAACCAACTAGCAAAAATATAGTAACAAAAGACAGTGAAGTGTGTTGAGTGACCTATAAACAATATTATAGGATTGCAAAGGGCAAGGTTGCTGTTTGAATCAGATGAGAGGAAAGTTAGAGACAAATTATAAATAGCAGATGGAGTCTTTGTCAGCCAAGGTTATGCAATGCTGGGAGCAGGAGGGGATCTGGTGAGCAAAGAAGTAAGACTAAAGTGACAGGGAAATTGACATTGTAAACAAGAGACAAGAGATGGCAGACATAGTCAACAGAAACATGGGTCTATAAGTTTATGTAAGTTCTTTATATGAGCTAACCGTTTCAGGGGATTATGTGAATCTTAATCAAAGAAATGGAAGAGACTAAGGACTAACCTAAGTCATGGTGCTATAACGTTATCAATCTATTTCTTCAATGAGTCTTTATGGGATTTCTACTAGCTACCAGGGATTCTGCAACCTAGAAATTGGGACACTGTAATAAAAAGGCCAGAAAAGATTCCTATTCTCCTAGACCTGACGTTTTGGTGGGTGAGATTGATAATAAAGAAAACAAAACCAAATAAAAAAATTGGGACACTGTAATAAAAAGGCCAGAAAAGATTCCTATTCTCCTAGATCTGACGTTTTGGTGGGTGAGACTGATAATAAAGAAAACAAAACCAAATAAAACCTAATAAGGTAATATAACAGTTGAGTACCATGATAGAAACGAGGATGCATGATAAAGTGTTAGATATAGATCTACTTTAGGTAGAGCAGGCAAAACAGGTCTAGATCTGTGTTAGTAGGGTAGTTAGGGAAAGCCTTCCTGGTGATAACTCTCCAGTTGACACAACTCTGATGAGAAAAAACAATAGTGGGAAGAAACCAATGTTAGACAGCAGAAAGAGCTAGGTGTCCTCTGAATCAAAAACAGAATGCATGGCTGATTATTTCAGCATGTTTGCTTTTGTTTGGAACTGAACACAGTTTCAGGGAAATTCTACTCAAATTAATAAGCCAGGTGTGTAGCTTCCAGAGATTACCTTATAGCCTTCCTCACCATGCTCTCCTCGCTCTCCTTGCTCCCTCACTGGGCCCTACAGAGAGCACACATAAATACAGTCACTTTCATGGCTGTAATCCTAGAGTGCAGATGCTACAGTTAGGGTGGTTTATTCTTTTGCCAAAAAATATAAGATCAATGTATAGAAAATTCTTTAGTCTGCTATTTCAAGTGATATCAAAAGTGCAATAGAATTAAAACCTTGATCAATTAACTTAATAATTTATATACAGTTGCCATATCATTTTGAAACTTTTATGTACAGTTATTAGAACTAATATAATAAATTACAACACAGATATAATTATTCTGAGGTTTACTGCTATACAGAATTATATGAGTATAGTCTCATAATGATTTACTATGAAAAATATTGAAATGATAGCTAATAAAACCTTGAATTGTTTTCCCAGAAATTGTTTATTACTTTTTTGCAGATTTTTAAAATTTGAATTAGAAACAAGATTGTTTTACATGTCAATCCCAGGTCCCTTCTCCCTCCCATCCTCTCCTACCACCCCCCCAATTAAAACCCTACCTATCACATATCCTTTCTGCTCCCCCTGGATGGTGAGGCGTTCCATAGGGTGTCATCAGAGTCTATCGTATCCTTTGGGATAGGGCCAAGGCCCACCCCCATGTGTCTAGGCTCAGGGAGTATCCCTCTATGTGGAATGGGCTCCCAAAGTTCACACCTATGCTAGGGGTAAGTACTGATCTACTACAGGAGGTCCTGTAGATTTCTTTTTTAAAAACATATTTTTTAAGACCCTGTCTTTTTTATAGCTGATCATTTAAAACTTTTTATTTAAATCTAAAAACAATCTTGTTTTATACACCAATCCCATTTTATCCCCCAATCCCATTTTCCTCTCCTTTCTGTCCACTCCCTCCACTCTCATCCACTCCTCAGAGAGGGTGAGGCCTCCCATGGGGGAATCAACAAAGTCTGTCACACCTTTTGGGGCAACACTGAGGTCCTCCCCCTGCATCTAGGCTTAGAGAATATCTCTCCATAGGAAATGGGCTCCAAAAAGCCAGTTGGTGTACTAGGGACAAACACAAGTTCCACTGCCAGTGGCCTCATAGACTACATTCAGGTGGCATAGTTCTGTTTCTTTTTTCTTTTTTATTTGAGTTACAAACAAGATTGAATTACCTGACAATCCCAGTTCCCTTCTCCCTCCCCTCCTCCCCAACACTCCCCCCCAACTAAAACCCTATCTATCTCATATCCTTTCTTCTAATCTACACCTGACTCAACCTTTCTGTTCCCTCATGACCTCTGCATCCTTCCTCTTCTTCCCTTCTCATTCTTGTAGCTCCCTCCCTCCTCTTCCCATGCTCTCAATTTGCTCAGGGAATCGTGTCCCTTTCCCCTTCTCCAGGGGACAAAGTTTGTTTCTTTTATAGTCCTCCTTGTTTACTATTTTCTCTGGCAGTGTGTATTGTAGGCTGGTAATCCCTTACTCTATGT